AATATGATGAAAAATATGTGTGAACATGAGAAATGGCATATATGAATATGTGAATATACTCGAAAGAGTATGAGATGGAAAAAGATATGATGTAAATAGTTACAGAGATACACTGGGGAGTGGAAGATAGAGACGATATGGGATATCTTGGGAAAATGCAGGGTGGTGAGTGACATTCGGGATTGTGCACGGAATATTGTGTTCGAATGCACCACATGGCCACACACTCATTTCTCGACTTGACTCCTGACCATTACCTTTGCTAAGGGGCCGTCTATTGCATGCGTTGTATCCGTATTGCATTGGGCCATCCGGCGACTATTTACATGAATGTGTAAGACCTCGAGATAGAGGCATCGGATAACTGTGGCCACAGGGCGCGGTAAGCGCAGATAAAAGTAAAAGAAATTGTGAATCTGTGTAATGTAATGCGCGTTGAGATGAGAATATGCTTTATATGACCTTGTGATATGTAATGCCATGATGTTTTCTTTAATCGTGATAAGATGTGTTTTGTGAAGAATGTATATGTTATGTATGAGTGGTAGGGTAGAGACTCACCCTTACACAACATTTTTCAGGAAACCAGGTTCAATAGTACCAGGCTCACAGTGCATGGATGAATGAGAACTGCTATAGGACTTAGTTATTTTGAGTTATGTAATGAATATTTTCAGTTCCATAGCATTCTTTTGAAATAGCTGTAAAACTACTATTCCTCTTTATTGCTGATGAAAACTTTAGAATCTTTGTTTTCCTAAAGTACTTATGAATTAATGAAATTTTACTCTATGAACCTTATATCATTTCAATGTCTTTTCCTTATTAGAAAGTTTTGAAGGAAAATTTACTTTACCATATTAATTTTTATGAAAATTTATCATATATTGAGGAAAGAAATATAAGGTGTTACATTACATGCCTGAAACTACTAATTAGTTGTAACCAATACCAAGTCTGGGATCATTTCCTATGGGCCAAACAAAACCAGAACTTGTGAGTTTTATGAGCTTGCGAAAATGAAAACCACTAAAAGGACTAAAACTAGGGGTCAATGCCAGTTTAAAGCAATTTGCAAGAAAGATGTGTCTATCAACATTAAGCTAGTAACAAACAATCGGCTTCAGAACAATAGTAGATAATGCATGAGACACAGTTTAATGTGATACATATCATCCATTTAAGGATATAAAGATGTAAAATTTCATGAATAATATGCAACTAGAGACTTGTTACCAATGTATAACAAATAAAGTCAAGAGTAAACCCAATACAGACATGTGAACCAATGACTCTGCATTTATAGCAAATCCCCTGTAATATTTAATTTTTGAAATGGCATATTCTTATCCACTCATTATTAATCACCAGGTTTGTAAAAAAATACATATCCAAACAAAACTGCAGCAGAAATTTCAAGCACACGTCATCAAATAATCCATTCATTATCAACATATGTATACGGAAAATCCATTCAAAGTTCCATGGACATCAAAATAAGTCAAAATTCAGCAAGAATGAGATTCTTTGCTGCAGGTAGTAAATTGTATTAGAAAACGGAAAAAGAACAGAGCTGTCTCCATTTAAATTTATATTCCCAAACCATTAAAAAATCAAGTCACATGACAAATAGAATGGTTTAAATTGCATTATGTATTTACAAACTCTATCAATTAATTAGTATAAAACAAATTGGCCATAAGTAGGGACCTTCAGCAAGGTTGGCTGAGACATGCAACAATGATCCTTAACCAGTTAATAGGTGAAAATACAGTAAATTAACATCTCAACTCCTAAGTTAACATCCATAAACCTTGCAGTCTTCTAAAAACCCCAAAGATTTAATTGCATAGTTGCACATTATGCCATTCTTTTAACCACTCTAGATTCTTATCCAAATAAAAACCTTCTTTTATTTTCTTACTGTGTTTATCCCAGAGAAAGAGAGAGGAGTAATCAGTTTATAAGTTTTCATGTTAGATATCAAATCAAATATTATGATTTAATATCAATTATAACTTTGATTTCAAATATACAAGTTTTCTTCGAGGGTTTAAGAAAAAGAAATCACACCACCAAATTTAGAGTTCAAAGCATTAGGATTAATCATCAAGGACTTACAATTTGCACCATCAGAAACCTCTTAAGCATGGTCTAACAGCAGAGTACTACGAATTCAACATGCATCGAAAGCTAAAGAAATCAAATTAGAGAACCTCGATGAAGACAAGGGTGAGTGATTGCATCGAAAGCTGAAGAAACTAAATCGAAAGTTGAAGAAACCGCTCCAATGAGAGAAGAAGGAACGTAAAGAGGGAAATGATGTGTAATTTCGTAAACAATTGAGAATGTTAAAAAAATTAGGATTAGGGTTTGCTGAATAAAATTTGGGGAGTATTTCCTAGGTTAGGGCCAACCCATGGGTAACCCTACCCTGACCCTATAATATATGGGTTAAATAATTAGGGCTAAATTAAAGTATTTTAACTAATATTAAAACGGGGCTTAATAAATTATTTCAGGGTTAGGTAGGATTGAGCCCAGGGCTTTGGCCCTTTTTGACAACACTAAGGGTATATGAGTTACTTATTCAATCCTTTATGTTATTTTTTCATTTAGTTCTAAGTTTGATTTTCTTGTGATTACTAATCATTTATACAATTACTACCAATATCTAATGACCATGAAATATTTACATTCTTTTTTCTAAACTAACATCCGCAATGGTCATGCAAGATATTAATTCAAGAAAGCATAAAACACCTATGAACTTGTTAATTTAATAATGATTAGAAGAGAAAGATTGATTTGGTCCACCTAATCCTTTGTCTCGTTTTATCCTATAGATCCATTAATTAATCAATGTATGGTCGCTTGACGATATAATTAATTAGGGTTATACAATTATATGTAATAAGATAAACATTAATCATAGACAAGAATCAAACATAGATTCAAACTTCAAAATCCCATAAATTCATGAACAAAGATTCTCATAACCCTAGTTATGGACTTAGTTACTCATGTTAGAGAAAAAAACAAAAACATTCATAAACAAAGCCATAGAGAAAAACAAACTAGAATAAGATGAGTTCCTAGTCTTCAAGTATGGTCGCTTGAAGTTTCAAGTCCTGTCAAGAGTATGCTAAAGGCTCAAGAACAGGATAGAGAGATGAGAAGTATATCACAGAGCAAGGACAATGTAAAATTGGGTGATGAATTGCTATCTCTAAGGTCTTTTTTTAATAGGGTCTGAAAATCCTAAAACTTTTTATAATTAGACTTCCTGCAGATGAGCAAGATCATGCAAGGCCATAAGCATGGTCATGCATGAACTCGAAGCATTCTCGTGCTTGCTTTTAAGGATTGGGCATGCTGACTACCGCAAAGCTTTGATTTTCAACCAATTTGCTCTCAAAATACCCAAAAATCCAATAGTGGGCTTCTTATGCTAAACTGCACAAAATATATATGAATTAATGTAAAACCTGACTAAAATACAAACCTAACATAAATATATGGGCTATAAAAACGAGTTTAAATAAAGAATTATCAACTCTTTACCAAAAAAAATCAATTTGCGGCCTTGAGACCCTACTCTTATAAGTGATAAGATGTTCTTTCCACTTTTAAAGTAAGTATTCATAATCTTGAGGGGATTCATAATCTTGAGGTCATATGCTATTGAGAAATTAATAAATATTGCTCTTTCTTATTTAACTCTCTAAAAATAAAACCACCATAAATCTTTGTAATTGTCTTGCCCCATGACCAATATGACCATTTAAGTCTTCATTCTGGAAAATACTTTAGCTTGTAGTATGTCTTAAAATCAAACCCTCAAAATTCTTTCAAAAGAGCTTTTGAGCCAAATTATGCGTAGACACTAATGATATTACTAGTCTAGTGCAACCAATAACTTGATTTTGTCACCAATCTTTTTAATTTTTATTACATTTTTTTCAAGTGTTATTTACAATAATACCTACTTCATTTATTCCTTTCACTTTCCTTGTATACTAAAGTTTAAAACATGTAGTATCAAGTTTCTTAACATTTTCTCCATCTCATTTTGTTTCTTAATGACACATATTGATACGAATCATGGTTTTTATCACTTTTTAAGACTTTCTTGTCAAAGTATCAAAATGTAATAAACAAAACCTAATAAAACACAACATTAGAATGCCAATGTAACATATTTATCTCATTTGATATTGTATTTGAACCATAGTACACTTTATTTTTAGATAAACTAGTCCTAGCACCATATTATCTTGACTGATCCATGTATATATTTTGTCAAGTTTTATAATAGCTATCAAAGGTTTAGCATAATCTTTTTTTTCTTTTAACTCAATTTTGAAATCTACTGTGAAACCATAATAAAGATATCATAAATTAAAAAAATAATTTTTAATAAGTATATCTTAATTTTTTTTTTATCAAAACTACTTTATATTGTTAATTTTTCTGGTACAAAACAAAGAAAATAAACAATAGTGACATTATTGTTGCCATGAGTTTTTCAAATAAAAATGCTTATATTCTACAAATATAATATAAAATCAATTTTGTTTAAGTTAGTTATTAATTAAACATTTAAAAGTAATAAATTTTTATTTAAAAAATATTTATTATATTTAAGAAACAGAAGTGTTAATTATATTTTTTATATAAAATTTTATTATTATTAATTACTTAAACATATCTTTAAGGATTAATGCTAACAAAATTTAAAATTTTTGAAATAAAAAATTTTAAAACCTAAATTATACCGTCAGAATTTACAATTATACCACAAATTTAAATATAGAACTCATTTAAGTTGTTATTCAGTAAATATTTATAAACCATCGCTTATTTTTAAATTTAATGATAAGATTTATTAATATAAGCAGTGGTCACGTGACTTGCATGTGTGGCTCCTTTTTCCCTGTTTAAAAGCCGCATTTCTTCACCAAGTCACCGGCTGTGTTTAAATTCCAAATTCTCAAATTTCTGCAGTCGGCAACTCTCACCTTATTCTCGAATCTTCCATTCTGAGCTATCGCTTTTGGTTGAACTTGAAGGTCTCATCGTAATGGTTCGTTCCCTCTTCTTTGTTTTTTCTTTCCTTTCTCTCATAAGATTTTGCGCTATAACTAACACGATCATTCCCATTTTTGTTTCCTTTGCAGTCTTTGATTCTTAGGTCTATATTCCATTCACACCTTCCCTCCCAACGCCCTAATTCCCTTATAATTTGACTTTTCCATCAAACGAGTTCAAATTCGATGTTTTGTTAATCTCTGAAGTGTTGGATGGAATTGATGTCACTCTTGGAAAACCGTTTGCTGTTATTTTTGGGATACTTCGTTTTTCAATTCTTCTCTCCTTTCTCATTCACATGCTAGATTTATTTTCTAACCAATTAGTCCTTGAACTTTGTTTTTATTTTATCTTGATTTACAAATCTGATTACTTGTTCATATTTTGATCTCTATAGGAACTAATTGGTCTTTGAAAGTGTTAGTGTGTACAATTTGGTCACCAAATATATTAACTTTTCTTATATTTTACTCCTGTTTTTCTTATATTTTTTGTCAGAGAAAGTGTGAGTAAGTTAACATTTTTAATATTGCAGGATGGTTCAAAGATGCATGGTGCTGTGTTGGCATGTACAGATGGAGCTGTTCTTCCGGTTAGTCAAGTGTTTGATGCAATTAGAGAGCTGGGGAATGAAGGGATTGAACAATGGGATCCACTGGTTCTTACATCTGCGTCACTATTAAGTAATTCTCTTGCTCCTTTGATTGCATTTATGTCTAAGTGTGTGTTTTATATTATCAATTCTGGTTTTGCATATAGAATATTCTTATGGATATGGGATTACTTTACATTTTAAATTGAATGAATTTGTCCCAAAAACCAATGAATTATGTTTTGCTATTGCTTACATCTTGGTCAACTTTGATTTTACCAAAGGAAAAGATGTTTATTGCAAATGATGTTTGATTATGCTCCTAATCATGGAATTTTACTATCGGATGCTGTTGTTATATAAAGTTCAAAAGTTACATTCAACAATTTAGGCTACTACACATATTAGCTTGAAATGATGCTTTAAAAATTATTGCTTGATTGCCGTTTTCCTGGAGCCTCATTATGCCAATGGATCAGCATGCATGATAGCATGTGATTTTGAGTTTTAATGCTTGGAGGGTATTTGGTGTTTATTCAAGTAAGAAAGTCAAGTATAAATATGCTTCATCTATTGTGGATAATTTCAATTTCAGATTATACTTATTCTCCAGTCTTTTTTGGAGAAGCGGATACATTGACAATTCTATTCAACATGGAATGATCAAATTTTCTTTTCCATTTTTGTTTGATTTTTCTTTATTTACTTTAGAAAAATAAATGAATCTAGGTAAGAGTTGTTTTTACTTGTTAGATATTGTGCATTTGTTTAAGTTGATCTTTGTTGCTTCTGCATGAATTTATTTTGTATAATTTACGGCCAAGTAATTTGTGAGTAAGGATATCATGATGTTTGAATTTTCTTTTCTTCTTCTTCATCACTTGCCTAGCCTTTTCTTTGTTTGCATTGTTGATCTGCAATAGTTAATGGGATCAAATTTTTTGTGTTTGGATGAGATCATATGTGAGAAAAGCTGAAAAATTCATTTTTGTTTGGCAAATTTTGAAAAATCAGCTTATAAGATCTCTGATTGATTTTTCTTACAAAGGAAATAACTTATAGGCAAAATTTTGGAGCTTATGATTAAAAAATATCAGCTTATTTTCTAGTTAACTTTTATTTTCCCAGTTTATCTTTAATAATTGATTATTTTAAATACATAACTAACTATTACACATAATTTCATATCCTTTTTATGTGATTTCAACCTAGAAAAAGTGATTATTTTGTACAATTCAAACACAATAGATTATTTTATATAATCAATTATTGAAATATTACTTTTTTTTTCCGCTAATCCAAATACAGCCTTCATCTTAGCTACTTCAATTTTGGATCTTTTATGCAACCGTGGTTCAACTTTTAGTTTACTGCCAGTTATTGTTTCTTGAAAGTGATGGAAGTTGTTATTTTCCTTACAAATGCTTGATTTTTCATTTTGTTTGTATATCATATTTTATTGTATTGCAGCTGAAGAAACCATGTTTTATCACCTATTATTGCAAATTTCAGGCAAGTTGCCCTTGGAATCTTCCTCTGTTGATTTTTTGGTTTTAATCTGGCTGTCAATTGATTGTCCCACCGACCAACTGATTCAGGAAATTCTTAGAGTGTTAAAAGTAAGTGGGACAGTTCTTATTCGCAAGTCATCTCAGTCTGCTGTGGGTTCAGTTGATAAGGTAATAACCACCTGAGGGACTTTATATTAACATTCTTAAATTTAGGCTTGGCTAACTTCATACTAAAAGCTAGCTTATGAAGTGAAGATTGCCTAAGTTTTTATAAATTTCAACATACATGATCTGATCGCCCCCTCCCTAAATTTGTACTTGCAGCTGATATCTGATCTTCAAAACAAGTTATTGTTAGCAGGATTTTCAGAAACACAAGTCTTACAGTCAACTGGGGTATGTTTCATCAGCTGATATTTGCCTCTGCCATTTGTATTCATCGTTTTTTAAATTGCTTTCTTGTGTTTGATTTGTTTTACAATGGAAACTTGTTCGATTAGTGGAATAATATGCTGACATGTGGTTTGAAACTCAGTCTACTAGTATTTGACAACTATTTTTGTCAAGTTAAATGGTTTTCGCATTTTGAGCATGATGGTTCCTTTCAGCAAAAATTCTTGTTTTCTTTTCTTTTAGTCATGATTTTCCCCCCTTGTCCTGCTATAGTCAACTTGTCTTCCTATTGCCTGATAAGTGGAATATGGCCATGGGCCAAGTCATCTGAAGTTATTCCTTTTTTGTCCTAGTTAACTGCTGTGGCCATCTTACAAATTCTAATTATCAATATGCTTTGTATTGCACATAGATCAAAGCTAAAAAGCCTTCATGGAAAATTGGTTCATCTTTTGCGATAAAGAAGGCAACACCTAAAGTGCAAATTGATGTTGATTCAGATCTGATCGATGAAGATAGTCTTTTGACGGAAGAAGATTTAAAGAAACCCCAGCTGCCACCTAGTATGGAATACTATTTTAGTTTCTGTCCTCAACTAGTGTTCTGTGTGATATTAGGCTCTTACCTAACATTTATTCAGCAGGTGATTGTGAAATTGGGAGTACAAGAAAAGCCTGCAAAAATTGCACCTGTGGGAGGGCTCAAGAAGAGGAAAAAGTATTGAAGTTAGGATTGACAGCAGAACAGATTAATAATCCTCAATCAGCTTGTGGCAGTGTATGTTTTTTTTTTTTTTTTTGCAATGTGCATTTTATTTATACTTTCTAAGGTTGTGTTCTATAAGAATTCATTTTTTCTTTTTGCATATTTTACATTGAATGTTCTAAGCTGTTTACTAGCCTTACATTTGTTTAGTTAGATAGTTTTTCGGTTTAGTTCAGATGATTTATAGAATCTTAGGAGGGTTGCCCCTCCCCTTGTTCACACCAGGTGCATTAAATTTCATGAAATAAAATAGCTACCTGCATGATAAATCCTCCTTTTTGTTGCCTGTAGCTCGCAATATCAATTTAGAGGATAATGGATGGAAGAAATGCTCATGTCCTACTGTCATTTCTTTGTATTTAGCTATGGAAGCTTGGCTGAGTTTGTGATTTTAAATGAGTTTTCTAAATGTGTGTGGTCAACCTCACCTAGGAGAGGAAAGAACGTTTATTTTGGTTAATAAGCTAATTGTATTGTATCTTTATATCTTATACAAAAGGTTTACTTACTTAATATCACAGTATTTATTTTTATTGTGAAAGCTATATATATTGAACATAAACTTTAGTCAGGATTGATAGAACAACAATATTGGTGTGAATGATGGTCAGTTTGACTAGTATAATAAGAGCATACAATTGTCTTACAAATTTTTCAATATGCTCTTTGTGAATAGTTACCCTATATTGTGTCAATCTATTCCCCCCCCTCTCTCTCTCTCCAATTGGCATCGTACTCAAAGTTGATTTTGGTCTGCAGTGCGGACTAGGGGATGCTTTCAGGTGCAGTACCTGCCCTTACAAGGGATTGCCTCCCTTCAAATTGGGCGAGAAGGTACTTTATCTCCCTCTCTTTGAATTGTCTGGTGTCATTTCTTTGGTATGGGCGTGGCCTATAGCATTTATTGCATAAGTCATTCGTTATTTTCATGCAGGTAGCACTGTCTGGTAACTTCCTTTCAGCAGACATATAAATGGATAAAGTTGGGGTACGCTTTGTCATGAAAATAACTAATGACATGTGCGCCTTATTCTGATCCTTCTAGCTGTTTGTGAAGGAAAAAGAACGATGCCTCTTAGCCTATGTATGCTGGGTAAAAAGTCTCGCACTACTTAGTTACAAAAGTGATGCGAATAGACTTTGTGACGGTTATTAGACAACTTAACTGCTATTAAATATAGGGGATTATAATATTTTTATTATTAAAAAATTAATTTCCAATAGACCAGTTTCGCATTTTAATACAGTTACACCGTTTATTCAATGTGAGTATCAACAAAATCCTCTATTCTCTTACGTTTACTGGATGAACTAAATTTGTACAGAAATTAGAAATAAACTTAAATCAAAGGTCCATCAATTCACAGCCAGATTCGTATACCAAATATCAACTTTGTGGTTTTTGGTCTCTATTAATCTGTTCTCGTTTAAAGAGTGTGGGTTTAAATGGTGTAAAATTGTGGTTCGATGGTGGTGATGACAGAGTTTCACTCTGTTGATCATTTGTTAATGTAATTAAAATTTAATCAGGGTAGTACATGTTTGGAAGTGTTAAATTTGACCATTATAATTGAAATTTCTGAATATATACTTGAAATTAATTTGGAAATCGGATTCACATTATAAATGAATTGAACTAGTCTTTTACAAGTGATATTTTTACCACGATAGTCAAAATTACGATTAAACACGGAAGGTCGTATGATCTTACAATCTGCTGCCGGTAACCGATCCCAATCCTGGGCTATGGCCCATTTTAATGATAGCATGTGCGATTTTGGGGGTGTTCTTTTTGGACTATTTTTAAAAAAAATTTGATTGAACCCATTTGACTCGTTCATTTTCTTTTATCCAACTTATATAACCTGAGTCTTTTAGGGTTTTTTGAATACTTATCTTCAATCTCACCTCTTTGCAACTTGTGACTACGTTTTTCTTTGTCGTCGGCATTGCGTCAACTCTCTTCATTTTTCTACCCTTTTTCTCCTTTAAATCGCTTTTTCTCCTATTATTTTTGGACACGACCATGACCTGGAGTTATTGAATAATGAGATAGTTGAGTTGTGCTACTTCCTCTATCTTTGTTTCCATATTTTCGCATCGCTGTATTATTGCTTTTGTCTTCCTTCAAAATGTCTACAAGTGAGACCTACTCTCCTGTCGGAAAGGAGAGTGGTGAAGTCTGTGGTAATACATCTAGTGTTTTAGTGAGTTGCTTTGTTGGTGCAGTTGGGATTGATTCTAAGCGAAAAAAAAATGCTCCGAAAGATAGGAGTGATCTGGCATGGCAGCATAGAATAGAGAATTGAGATGTGGGACACTTTGACTAGGTTTTTGGCATTAGTACTATGAATTTTTTGTTATTAACTTGAAACTTATTTATTGTCTTTAATGTTTAAATTGTAATTCTCTTGTTTAAGACTATTTTTACTAAATTTGGAATGCATAAAATAGATTAACTCAAACAAAGTTATCATCGCAATCAAAACTAAATGAAATCATGCATTCTAATTCAATCACTATTAAATATACACACATCTTGAATTAAAATAAAGAGTTACAATTCTATAATATTCCAAACAAATAATTTTAGTTAATCAAATTAGCATATATTTGTTTAACTTTCAGACTTTACCTGCATGAGAGCAGTGGCAATTTCGTAGGATGTTACCGTTAAGCGTGCTTGTAATGAATATGCATGAAGCAGAAGAAATTCGTACAAGGATGAAAAGTAAAAGTTTTGAACAATGGACCCACAGATTAAGCAGCTCCTTGCTTAGTTCAGGGTACTTGCTAGATTAGATCTTGGTTAGTATATATATAATTGCTATATGTGATTCATTTAAAGCCTAAAAAATGATTGAATAATGAAGGTGACTACACTATATCCTCAAGCCAGTCACGACAGATGAAATATACACAATTGCCGGACGAGACTTGCATGTAGATAACAATTACGATAGCAAGAGGGAGAAATTTAGATCATACAGAAACAAATTCTTTTCTATAATTGACCAAAACAGGGAATTCAGAAACCTTAATTCTTTTCCTTGCAGTGGCCGTCTTCTGTAAATTGAAAGCTGAAAGTGCTACATTCCTCAAATTGTGGAGTTTCCCATCTTCTAGGTAACAGATCATGTTGCTAGACTGTGTCATTGTATGTCTGATGTTAATTTGCTGCTCTTAGCATTGCGCTTGGACAATGGAGATGGCCTTCTCAGCAGAATTTCGTGTATCATTTTGATACGATGCTCATGGTCTATGCCCTACATTGTGAATATTCCTTGGCAATTACTTGATTTACTTCCCGTGCTTCTTACCTGCAATCCAGGGTTCGTATGTTAACAAGAAATGCCATGCTAACATTCTTTTGACCAGAAGGAAGGAGGGTCATTAATGCCGCCTTCAATGCGAATAGTGTAGTTTGATATTCTTTACAAAGAAATCACATGATAAAAGAAAGATAAACTTTTATGCATCTGTCGCTATACACCAGGATAGTAATATAGATAACGTTGTCATTCTTTTTAATGTTTGAAAAAAATAAATATAAATTATATTTAAATGACAAAAATTTACAAAAAATAATATAATTTGTTTAAATATAAATTTTATTTAATTATTTTACTTTTCAATATATATATATATATATATATATTAAATATTAAAAATATTTTTATGTACAAATAATATTAAAATTTGATATTAAATTATATTAATTTTTTTCATTTTTTTACAATTAAAATTTATTTTTAACTAAAATAATAATAATTAGAACAAAAAAATATAAAAATTCAAATATATATTTTATAAAATGATTAAAATATTTTTTACAAATATCTATGAAAAAATATACTTTTCTTTAAAAAATTATAGATTATTTAAAATATATATTTTTAAAAAAATTACTTTTAATAAAAAAATGTTCATATAATTTTTTTATAAAAATATTAAATTATATGTTTTAAAATAATTAGTTTTTATAATATTAAAAATATTATAAAATGAGTAAAAATGTAATAAAAAAATGTTATCCTCACTTCCCAACCTATCAGCAAAATAAGCTATTATATTTTATTAATTAATAAATGTCGAAAATAAAAATAAGATAGAATAATGTATCCTATTATCTCACCAAATGAATATGCACATCAGTTAAGAAGAAAAGATGGAACAGTAATGCAACCAATTGAACGATGTGGTCAATATGCTGCTTATACCTCTTTGAAACCATGATCTACGGACAGTTCGCCGGATGTGACGCTCGTGCCTTTCTAAAAGCTCGTCAACTGTGTGCATTTGTGATAGTAGGGGTCCAGAAAATTCAACCTTCTCTCCTTGATCTTGGAAACACTGTGAAGATAGCAATGAATAAGAATTATGTCGACACAGGGATACATAAATTGTATGGCTGACACATGATCCAAGAATTTGATGCAGGTAGGTCAAAGCACAAGGTAAAACAGATTCCTACATTAAAACTTGAGAGTATCAAATTTGTCAAGAATTTGATCCATTTATGATCATATGATGGATGCAATTACACGATACAATTTTATATTAAAACAATATATTATTATCCAAGAATTTTATATTAAAACAATATATTATTATCCAAGTTTGAAATTGGTCCCTAGTCTTTGCTATTGATCTATCTATACCTTTGAGAAATTAAAACCCAATAAAATAAAATGCTGAGGAGGAGATCAATTAACTAAGCTGTCATTTAAGTAGAACAAGCTATTGACAAGTCACTAATCTTAAACAATGCCATTATGTCAAAAACAAATTTTCTTCTATCCATCTTTTGAATTTCAAATTCCCTATAACATAATAAATTCCTAATTCCCTCTTTCATATAGTGCCCCATATCAATCTCTACACACAAGACAGAATGATATGCAGAAAGAGTCACAGCTTAATACCACAAAAAAAAATCTAGCCAATTTACAAACTCACCATGTTACTTCTCTTGGATGCTGAATCTTCTCTTTGATAAAGGGCCATAGACAATTCTTGCGAGTGGTACTCATCAGAAGCATCAAATGAGTCTGGCCGATCAAACTTACTCCACTGGTTCTGCATTGAAAGCTTAGAAATTTCATTTAGGTCATTGGCCCGGGTATAGGTGCGCCCTCCAAAAAACTCCTTATTTTCCTGGTTTGTGGTGTCCAAATTATTTCTTGAATTTAATGTAGAATGTTCTAATGGATTGAAAATATGCCCTCTTGATATAGTACGACAATGGGATCGAAATGAAATGTCATCTTTACGGCCTTTTGCCCAAGCAAAGCCACTTGATGTTGAAACTTGTAATGGTCCGGAAAAGGGAATATCTCCTTGAGATGCATTCTTAACATGAGAAGCATCTTCAGGTTTAACACCGGATGGCTTTTGTGCCTTGTCACCTATGTTAGTCTTCTCTTCTTCAAGGATGCGGAAAGATCTACCATTGACCTTTTGGGAAGTCTGAGTTTGTGCCAAATCCTGCAAGAGCAATCTTAAGTGAGACTGAGGTTATGGTAATTAGACCATTCCTATAAATCAGTGTGCATGCATATAAGAAGAAAACCCATGACACAAGAAAAGAAATAAAGACCTCTGCCGGGGCAAGTTTACTGAATCCTAGTGGCTTTCTTGACGGTTTTCTGGTTTCAGTTCCACGAACTCGTCCACTGATCTTTTTCCTGAAAGTCCATCACAATATGATTTCGTGAAAAAAGTCAAGAAAAAATAGACAAGTAATGTTCATGAAAATAGAAACTATAAAAAATAAGTTTATTTTGTTATATTGTGCCAAAGACTGTTGAACTATTCACTGCATCTTTACAATTTAAAATCCTTAAAATATATGAAAAGGGAGAACCAGAGCACAAGGTTCCTGTCTAGTGGGATTTAGGAAGGGCAAATGTATCCAGCTTTACCCCTGCAAGCTATGAGACTGCTTCCAGGATTTGAACCAGCGACCATGTCACAAGGCAGACCTTACCACTGTACCAAGCAGGGACAGTGCCCATGATGGCATTTTTTTAAAACATTTGAGGTTAGTCAATATAAATATAAATGGCTACCTCAAAAAAAAGGGGGGCTTACCCAAAATTTTTTGGCTGTTATTTTTTATTGTGAAGGTTAAATATTGATATGATATGAGACTTTTCTATAATATTGTTATGTCTTCATTCTTTTGTATTTTCATTGATCTCATAGTTTGGCTACCGCAATAAATATTTTCTGGCCGTGCCCCTGTTGCCAAGGTTCACCTTAAAAGATATATCAACAAAATAACCCATAGAAAAACCTAAAAAATAAAGAGAGCAGAGATGGAGGATATAAAACAGTATGGATTGTTCCAGTTTCCTTGGAGCAAGCATAAGTCCTTTAATGAGTTTATTGTTTCACAAAAACAACAAAGATTTTTTCCCTCTCGTCTTCGGGAAACAATTCCAATCTCAATAGCTGAATTTTGATTATTACAACGTTAATTTACTGCACAAGTATGTATGTAGGTTCAAATGATTTTTTGGAAAATAAATAGCCGGTCCTAACCTCTCCGTGAGGCCAAAAGCTAGACCCTGATTAAGTTGTCAAAACAAAAGCAAAAGTTCTCAAATGGATCAGCTTATCAAATCCAAGTATGGCTCTAGACTCAACCAAGTGAAATGCACATGCAGACATTTCTTATTTTGAACATGCCAGATAAGTAATCCAGAGACATCAGTTGAATATGCAACAAGCTAAACCTTTATTTTCCAATAACTGCATAAAATGAGCACTGAATATCACTCACCTTGACTCCTCCTTGTGTTTTGCATCGATTTCCTTGCTAGGTGGGTATTTCGGCAAGCTTGATGGATCACATGCATAAGGTTTGGTTTTGAAATACTGGAAGTGGTAAAGTTGTACATCAGAGACCAAATCATATTTCAATGATTCATGTAGCCATAATATTTGCAGATAAATGCTGAATGGTTTTGAATCTAGGACTAATGTCATTAAAAGCAACTGATTGATATCTATGGATATCCCCCAAAATATGGGCAATAGAAATCAAATAGACAATGTTCTGCAAAATAGATTAATTCTATACAGAAATTAGGACCAGTTTGGTTTTAAAATCATTTCCTGTTTTTATAAATAATTACAAATATGCCACATTACTTTCAATGTATTTCCTGTTTTGAAATATATGTTTTCACTATTTCTTGTACAAATTTTTGAAATCAACAAAATAAAAACAAGGAAACATTAAATAGGAATTTCCAATAAATACAAAAGCAACCTACCTCTGATGAGAGAGCAGATGTGGCAGTCCCACGTTTGAATGGTTCAACAGAAAGAAGAGCCTGTAGCAGATTTACACTTGTCGCAGGCAATTCTTTAAAGGACTGTCTAAGGCAACTATCGTATGGTTGCTGTGGCTTAAACAAAGTTGCATGAGGAAGTCTAGTCTTTTTCCAGTATTCATCAGGTGGGGAGCCACAAAGCTTGAAAATTTTGTGCAATTGTTCAACCTGCATATGTAACAAATGAATTTAGAAGTTTCAAAACGACAAATCAAACAGTGCTGAAATTGTCATTTCCAGCTAATTCATTCATTAACGACAAACAGATTAGTAGCATCCGTCTAACATTTTAAGAAGCAATTTTCAGATTGAATCTCCCCTTTTATAAAGACTAGTGTTGATTGGTATCATATTGGAATTTTCAGGTTGATTACATTCCCCATTTCATCCATATCAAAATATAGAACGGTGGCAACCCTAAAGACCTGAACAAGCAATGATATCACCTATTTCAAGTAAACCTATTGACAGATTGCAGGGAAACCTCATGCAATAGGTAAGGAACCAAAATTTCAGCTCTGTTCAATAGTTGGCTGCAAAATCAGAGTTACATTTGAAACATACAATGCAACTCAGATAAAGCAATGTAAGAGAATCGGGGAAAAAATGCTAAAATTACCAATTCACTATGTAAGCATTAAATATATAACCAGGATCATCGCTTTTTCAGAGAGGGAGAAAAATGAAGATGTAATATCTGGTGAACATTCAGGGTAAGGCTCAGACTTGAGAGTTAAAAGTGTTTTGTTTTTTTTTCTTCCCTTAAAGATCATGGGGTAAAGATGGAACAAACCACAGGACCAGCCAAGAATCGGACCTAAATCATTTGTCAACATTCGAGGTTCAGTTTGAAAGATGCATATTGCTTACTTTAGAAAAAATCCAACCACCCTTTTAAATGCCATCTGCAAGGATTTACCAACGGTATCCACAAATACACAAATATCCTTTCTAATTGAATTACAAAACTAAAAGCCTCTACGCAAGCACGAAGATATGATAGAAAGCACCTCTACATCGTAATATTTTTCTGATAAAGGAGTCATAGTCTTTACCATAAGGAGGAGAGGACATCAAAAGTTTTTGAATTGAAATCTTAGTGCACCTTGATGGCAACCCTTCTTTGCAGCCATTACAGGCAACATTATCATATCTAGTTGCATCCTTGAGAGTTGAGGCATTGTCATACTTCTTCATTATCATACATTATCAAAGTAATTTTAAGCTTATCATGTACAAGTCATTCTAACAAAGATGTAATCAACATCACTACACTAACATGCACCATGACAGGAAAACCAAATACATTTTATAAAGGCTAATACCTCCGTTCTCCCCTGAAGTACAGGCTTCCCAACAAGCAGCTCCGCAAACACGCAGCCAACACTCCAGAGATCCACAGCCGGTCCATAATCCGTCGAACCGAGCAAAAGCTCCGGCGGCCGGTACCACAAGGTGACAACTCGACTAGTAAGGGGTTGCCTGTGCCCAGAACTCACAAAATTGGCCAATCCAAAATCCGCCACCTTCAAAACCCCTTCATTATTCACCAAAAGATTCGACCCTTTAATGTCCCTATGCATCACTCCCCTCAAGTGACAATGCTCAAGCCCAGACAACAACTGCTTCATGTAGCACTTAATCTGCACACCACAATTCCATTCTTTCAACAACAAAATCACACCATAACATAACATTACATTGACAATTATGATTAATCTATGGTCGTTCTACGACTGGCATTGATTAAAAAAATAATAAATAATAAGTATTTATTAAAAATCACAAGATTAAAACATTATTACTGAATAAAAAATTTCTATTTTTTTTTTAATTCTTTAGCCATTATACTAAAACATTGGTTAACATTTTTCTTAGTTTATGGGTACCTGTGCTTCACTAAACTTGATATCAGGGGAAGATAAGAGCCCTGTAATATCATGCTCCATGTACTCAAACACGAGGTATATGCTACACGACAATCTCGAAGTAATCAAGCCCTCAAGCTTTATGATATTGGGATGATCAAGCCGTCTCAGAATCATGATCTCACGCGCCATGAACCGCACGCTCTCCGGTTCGAAATTATCGAACCGCACCTTCTTCAATGCCACTATCTTCCCGGTCTCAAGCTCCCTCGCCCGAAACACACTGCTATACGTCCCCTGCCCTATCTGTCAACATCAATCACCCCCTCATCAATCACTTAATTACAATAAATATAATAATAACAATAAGATTAATTTTGTTATTCTTTTTATGTTATCAACCTTCTCCAGTTTTTCAAAGGCATCGGCGCGCAGAGGAACCCAGCCGTGAATGGCTTCGCCGGCGACGGCGCTGAGCCATGCCGGCCATCCGGCTGCCACGTGTTCTCCTTGCACGTACTTGTGAAGGTTCCCCAACCTGAAGCTCAAGGAGTCACAATTCGAACTCGTTCTCCCCGACTCACCTACCTCCCTCTGGCTTGCTCCACCCGACTCACTCCTCTTCTTATTCTTCTTATCCTTCCTATCAGACTCACTTGCGCCCGCATTGCTCCGAAACGCGCCCGAGTGGTCAATCGCTGGCGTCACCGACACCGCTTGCTTCGAACTCACGCACCCCATGGATCCGGGTCGGATCCACGACCCAATTCAAGTCACAACAGAGTCTGAGCTCCGCGTTTTATACTAGTGGAAAAAAGAAAGAAAGAAAGCGAAAAAGCGAAGCAATTCACTTAGCGAAACGCAGAAACGGCATGTCGTCGCATTGTGTTTCTTTCGCCGCTGCGACAATTGCGGGAGACTGTAGGGGAAAATGCGATTTAATGAGGAAGACGGATCAGTAATACGTTTTTTTAAAAACTCAGCGACATAGATAGTATTTTTTATTGAAAATAAAAACTTTTAATAAATTTTAATTAAATTACATCAAGTTTTATAATTTTTTAACTAAGTATAATATTTCTCAAATTAAAAATATATATAATTTTTTTACAAATAAATGATACGTGTCTTCTAAAAAATTAATTAACGTTATATATCTCATTTTTACCTAAGTAAGAGGATTTGTAAGCTGGAATTACACTATTAAAAAGTAATCAACATTAACAAAAAAAATTTAAAAAAAAAAAAAAGCTAAGGGCGAAATGAGCGGAGGGATTATTTTTCTTTTTATTCAAACTGTGCGTTTTGGGGTTGGCTCGTGAGCGACCTTACATTCTCTGCATTTGTTTGCATTCCTATTTTGTTTTGGCTTTTGTTTGGGAACCTATGGATTATTGGTGTGTGGTTTGTTTGTTTGCGGCGTTGGGTTTGTTGGCGTTCGTAAGTGGCGAAGGGAAGAGAGAAACTATGCATGGTAGAGACTTGGCTTGGAGTGGTTAAGGTGGGCTTCGCTTATTTTGGATTTTGGAAAGCGCGTGGCACGTGATTGTGTTACACGCTGATTCCATTCGCTAATGATTATCGATTAATCAATTTAATTGGATTTGCTTTCATACCAGTTGTTGTTGACTTGAAGAGTACTTGTTTTGTTTTCTAATTTTGAATTTAAAATTCCAACACTTCACCACTTCACCACTTCACGGCATAGTGGGGATACCAGCGTAACCAAGTTGAATTCTTTTGCAATACGCTCACATCATCTTGACCGTCACACGCAACCATTTCCAAACACGCTTGCCTCTCTAAATCTACGTTCAATTGTGATGTGTTAATATTGCTCCCATGGCAAGGTGTGTGTGTGTGTGTGTGTCTGAGAGAGAGAGGGGGGAAAGGGGAGCAAATATGTTAACAAAGAAATAAAGGAAAAAGGAAAAGAAAGGTAAACAGATCTATGGTGATGTGTAGATATTTCCCTTTCTAGATCTTCTTTTTCAACTTCCCCTCTCCTACTGTTCCGGTTCCTCCCCACTTCTGACATTTCCTCTTTACTTTCATCACCCTTGTGGCCCACCCATTATTCGCTTCCATTTTCAAATGTGAAAATCAATAATTATAACGGGACAGACATATCTATGCTAACCAAATCTTCTGAAATTTCTTTCTTTTTATTAGTGTCAAAGAAAAACTCAGTTAGAAGCCTAAATCTAGATTGTAGAATTATAATTATAATTTTTAAAAAAACCACATAATTATTATAAACTTCACGTCACTTTTTTTAAAAAATTATATATTTTATTTATGATGATATTTAACAATTAAAGTTTTTTTTTCTCTAAATACATATCGTGTGTGTGTATCACTGGTACAAGAAGATTCAAATCTAATCTTCTTAGTATGCCACTCTGGAGATGAGAATATCTTGGTCTAACTTCTTAGATGGGAACATTGAACATAGTTGCAACTCATAATTTTCTTAGGAGGAAAGCTTTGAGATGTGGACTTTGAGAAATTTCAAAGTGGTTGCAAAGGGCAGTGATTAGGAGGTTGGACTAGAGCGCACTGAATGGAGAGTTTGGGACCATATTGTCACCATGGAAATTAGCTGAATTGATCCTCATTTGAATTTGATTAAGAAAAACAGGTTCCAACTAATGCCATTGCCACTTCCATTGAACTCTACATGATTCCATCTTTGTCCTTTCTGCCAAAGAAAATTCACATAAGGCACAATGAGCAGTTAAAGTTAATTCAATTATCTCTCGTTTTATTTGGTGCATGTTTGGTGGAGATTACAGTTATTTTTAAAACCCTAATTTATAATAAAAATATTATGTTAGTTATAACAATTTTAAATTAGATTTTATTTTTTAACAATACGTTTAATTAGAAAAGAATTTATATAATGTCGTGTTGAAGGATTTTATAATAAGTTATATCATATTATAAATTTATTTTTGAAATAAAAATTTGCAAACACAATTCTAATTAATTATAATTATTTTTGCATCGAGATCACTCAAAGTTAAATCTATAAATGCTCACCTAATCACAAACTAGTTAGTTTCTTGCAGTTAATTCCTTTCTGAGAGGGCTTTCTTGCAATTAAAGTATATATCTCTTTCCAAAAACAAAAAAAATCTCATTTTCTTTACTTGCTTTGCTGGCTTCTATTTGTAAGAGAAAAAAAAGTATCTTTTTCTTTTTCTGTTAGCGTGATTATCCTGTCCATGCTGACTTTCCTTAGGAAATGACGTGCCATTTCATGAATATGTCAAGCATGTTTAAAAAAGCTACTTTTTAAGCTGGTGCATGCTAATTTCCTATAGTTAGGCATTAATTTGACCCAATTAATACTAGAACAAATTTTGGGTTTCAATTATATTTTGGGTCATTATAGTTACTCCAAAGAATGCTAATCCAATCAGGAGTTTAGCACAGTGAGTGCCTTTTGTGGAAACTTTAGAAACTGATTAAGCATGCTGTATTTATAGCTGACTCAAATGAAAGAAGATAACCGTGATTATTTGATACCTACACTTCTACCAGTTTCTGCCTTGTTTTTTTTTTTTTCATCTTAATTATTTTTAACATAGGAGTACTATTTTCAAGAGGGAGAAGTTAATTTGTGTAACCCCACTGTATAGCAACAATTGAATTCAATTCATCATTATCATTACAAATAATAGCAAGGGCTAGTTTTTACATATAAATCAAACAATGTTTAAAATTGCACAATTAATTCATAGTTTACAGGCAACTATGGAATCCTAGAGAAACAGTTGCTATAGTAAAAATTGATTTTTTTTTATTACCAATTTATAATAAATTTTATTAATCAGTATCTTAAAGATACTAATTAAAAAATCAATAAATAATAAATTTTTATTACAAATTACATTAAAATACAATAAAAGCATAAAAGTGAATGCATTTTTATTTTTAAAATAAAAAGTTATTTATAATTATATAACTAGTGTCATGATTAACAATATTTTTAATTAATTCACCTTAATCTTGGTTTGTGAAGATATATATGCTGATTAATGAGTTCATAATTTTCTGAATCGATCTTGGGGTTTGAACCGTGGTAGGAAATCGAGGAAGTGGAAGGAAATAGAACATATAGAGATTGGAGTTCGAGGTTATCTGTTAACTGAAAGTTGAAGATCCAACTTCACCAAGAACTACAATAGAAATAGAAAAAACTTTTGTCGTAAAGGAAAGTCAAAGTAAAGATTAAAAAAAGTGCATAGAAATAAAGCTCGAGCTTAAAGGTTGGGAAATAGGGGTGATAAGTCTCTTCTCTTGTTTCAGATTGGGGTTCGGTGAACCGAAAAAAAGAATATCATTTACATACATGGCATAGGTTCATGCATTTTTGTTTTTGTAAAATAAAATGCAAGACCAAACCCTCCTTCAAAATAGCAACAGAAATGTGGCAAAATATAATCAATATAAACAAAGATTGAGGAGTTAGTTTATAAAATACCCATATTGATGTTATATCCAAAGTGATAAAGTATCTTGTTTAGTTAATAACCATAAAAATTACGGTGCCTGCTGAACAATGAAATTATGAAACTACAACGTTTGGATATTAATACACAAAATATGTATTCGGTGAGAACAATGGACTTTTTAAAAATTAAAAAAAAAAGTTTAATATTTTTCTTTGGATATAATTAATTTTACGTGTACGATTTATCAAACTTCTAAAATTAAATGTATATGTATATTCAAAGATGATTATATTCTATCATTTAAAATAAAATCAAGTTTCATGAGCCAGTGAAATTGATTATTGTTGATTTTACCACACAAATTGTAAAGGCAATAGATATAATTAATTAGTCATAAGTGTTTGAACGTTTGATGGAATTTTCATTATGATAAGGATATAGAGGTTTCTTTTATCGGTTTAGCATGTGGGGTGTCTGTGAGACATGTGCCATCACTGAAATTAAGCCTCCTAAATCCTCACTCGCCCTGAGGACCCAGAAAATAAAAAAAGAAAAAGAAACACTTTGATAATAAGCTATAATTACTGTCTCCCATGAGCTAATCAAGATCTCTCTCCAGCCATGAAGCTCAAAAGCAACTTTAAGCATAAACATCACAAAAGTTTAAATAATAATATTGATTTCACTAGGAATATTTAAAGTATCTTTTTCTCATCAATGTGATTTGCTAACTCATTTGCTTTAAATTAATTTTATTCAGTGTACTCAAAGTTCTACTATCACCAATATTTTACGGCTTAACAGCTTTAAATAGCTCGTGGTTGTATAGATGTTTCAACACAGATAAAAGCACCTTTGCACGTATAAGAATATGACACTTTAACCCAAAAATTAAAAAATAATAATAACAAAAACAACAATAATAAAACTGAAAAAGAAAACTTTTAAAAGCCTACTCTCATTTTGATTACTATAAGGAAATCGTTTATTAGTAGAAGTTAAATTTATAAATTAAGTACAGTTTTACTCATTTCTAATTTTTTTTAATGATTAAGAAATTGACATTAAAAATTAATGATACTAAACTAAATAGCGTTGGTTGCATGCAACAAGTTTGTTACAATTATTTAGGATCGGTTTTAAATTGCTATTAAATTTTGAAATTTAAATGTAAAAAATTAAACACACAAAAAAGAACACCAAAAATAAAAAAAACACAATAGAAAACACTGCCTTTCAACAATGTTTGTAGGCAACAGTTAAATCATCTTTCCCTTGACATCCAAACTCATTGGGAGTGACAAATTTAATGTTAACGTGAGACTTATCCTTTGCAACAACTAACATTATTTCAAGATCCAAAATGGAGATCTTCATGTTATGCCCTAAGAGACACTTGTTATGTGAGATTATTCTGGCCTTACTAATGGCTCTAGCCATTACTTTGTCAAGT